GTCTAGACCTTTTAGCCGAGTGATTTGAACGTCGTGGGTCTGACTGAGCTGGTCGCCCGGGTTCGACTCCCCGGCCCGGGAGTGCCTTTCTATCTGTTTCTACTCACTCCTGTTCGTTTCATTACGTCTGTAAAGGACGTCCGAACCGAAATATTAAGATTCTTATAGCGCGGGTTTAATCCAAAACGTCGATAGAATTGCCTTTATTAGAAAGTGTTGTTTTCTAAACTGACTGAGAACACTGTAGACCCTTGAAAAAGCTTTGTATTGCACGACTAAGATATATAACATTCCAGTTTAATAGTAAATCGTTTTAAAACGGATGGTTTTTGGAGACTACTAAATAGGAAGATGAGCATGTAACGAATACAGTGCCATTGAAAGGGGTTTAATAAAAGATATATAAAATTCTAGTGTAAAAAATAGGCTACGGGCAAGTTATAGAGTGTGAAATAAAACCCGAAAATATCGACAGAACGTGCTGAAAACGTCCGTTGAATTTTATTTCTTTTTTGCAACAAATTATAGTTCTGTGTTGTTTTCTAAAACCGAGGACAACTTTGGCCCTTGAAAAAGCTTTCTGTAATATGACATACTAAATTTAGAATACTAGTATCATTGTACGCAACGTGTGAGTTGTAATGCGTTTGTACATGATGTCTGCCGACAGTCGCAAGCATCAATGCCCTATAAACCTAATCACTTTAACACATCACGGTCGTTCTACAAGTAGATGCGAACTGCGAGATATGCCCGCCGCAGCTTGACGATGAATCCCTCCCCCACCTCGCGAGTTTCCGGGATAACCGTCGATGCTTGTACCATGTAGGTAATTGTTGTACTTACTTTTACATGGAAACAAAAGCATGGCGTGCAGCAAAAACCTTGAGCGAGTTATGGTAGAAAATTATGTCGAACCGAAACACCATATCCGTGTGTCCACTGTTCTCGACTTTTTTTATTACCCTTCCCACTGTGGAATCTGTAACGCCTCTACACTATACAAAATCCACTCCTGTTGTGCAATTTGGGGGATGTGGAAGTCTCTGTTTGCCAGACAAGGTTTATGAGGAGTCTGAGATCAGAACCAGCGCAAACCTTTCTTCAACGTAAAACACGCACCATTAACCGCATCAAAACGTAAACAACTTGTATGGTCCCGTTTGTAACATGCCCTCAACCCTCCTTAGGAAACTTGCACTTGCTGGATTGGTGAAATGTTTCATTCTCTGCATTGTGATTTTTAAAAGATTTATTCAGGGAGGATCGATGTAAAATATGTAAGGTTTGCTCGCAAATCTCGTGTAGAAAGACGTTCTCTAAAACCCCCAAACAAGTCTAAGCTTTTGCAATGCTCTACCGAATACCCCTCTCCAGACAGAATATATCCATTCGCCGCCATAAAGTAGTGCGACGCAAACAGGACACGATTGTTGTAATAAATATGCCAAATATGTTGTTGATTGGACAGTTAACACATACTGGTATAAAACGTCTTCGTCTTGGTGCGGTAGACTCTATTTTTGCACTTTATTTGGCATAATGTGACCCTCCAGATGTTGGAGCGCATGGATATTATTTGGATCCTGCGATCGCCCGTGGATTGTAGCTTCAGTGCAGGGCGGCCATTGTGAGGTAAGGATCGACGTTCGCTTGTCTGAGAATTTTCCCTCGAAAACCTGCAGTTGTGGCGTAGAATAGCTGTTTCAGAGCGTGTTTAGGTTTGTAGTTGTTACTGGTGATGGCCGTTCTTTTCGTAAAGGTCACTTTCGGCGTTCAAATCAAGGAATAATTCGTGGCGTGGTAAACACATTTTTCGGTAAAAAAATTCTCGCTATTCCCTTGAAAAGTAGCCTGTGTTACTCTTTGTCCTGCTGGACAATGTGGCTGATATGTATTTGTGGATATATGTTTAGTGCGTGCACAC